CATTCCTATCCAGCTCTCATCTCCGGTGTGTAAGCAGTTTTGCTTATCCATCAGTCAATGTGGTGGGCGACCTGCTAGCTTGACATTTTGACAGTAAATACTAGGCAGCATGAGCTGACATAAAGTTCACTTTATAGACCTTTTTCATAAAATGCAGAATTACCTGTTATGCATTTTTGTATGCGTAAGGAGGATGCTTCAAACTTCCTGTCTGCAGTTTTATGCATACACCATAAAGAGTCAGTTTTAAATTATAGTTTTAATCTATAGTCTTTGAACTATTACTGATGTTGATCAGCACCACCTCCTGGATTGTGAGTCATTTTACCTTCATCATCAGAAGTCATCCTGTGCAATTCAAGTGGTACATCACTAAACTGATAATTTTCTTCTTGTTTTCTAATATATAACCAGCTCAAACATGTTTAACAAAATGTTTGACACACATATGTACTATTCTACTAACACATTGATTGAAAAAGTGGTGCAAAGTTGAAAATAATTTTTTTGAAATGCAAGAAAACACATGGTAAATACACAATACAAATTAACTTAATGAAACGGCTCCAGATTAGAATTAACATGCAAATCAGCTCAGAGTTCACTTCAACTGCATGTTTGTAGCCCTCCTTTGATTTCTTTTTCTTTTTTAAACATTTCCCAAATTATATTTAACAGAGTAAGGAAATTTTTACAGTATGTTTGATAATATTTTTTCTTCTGCAGAAAGTCTTATTTGTTTTATTTTGCCTCGAATAAAAGCAGTTTTTATTTTTTTTCAAAACAATTTTAGGGACAAAATGATTAGCCCCTTTAGGCTATTTTTTTTTCAATCATCTATAAAACAAATCGTTATACAATAACTTGCCTAATTATCCAAACCTGCCTAGTAAACCTAATTAACCTAGTTAAGCCTTTAAATGTCACTTTAAGCTGTATAGAAGTGTCTTAAAAACATCTAGTTAAATATTATTTATTGTCATCATGACAAAGATAAAGTAAATCAGTTATTAGAAATTAGTTATTTCAACTATTATGTTTAGAAATGTGTTGAAAAAATTCTTCTCTCCATCTTCTCTCCAAAAAAAAAAACAAAATTCTAAGGGGGTTTTCTGATTGCATATATATATATATATATATATATATATATATATATATATATATATATATATATATATATATATATATATATATATATATATATATATATATATATATATATAATAAATTCTTCCCCCTTGACTTTTAAAGTACACTAAAAAAAATATTCATTAGATTTATGAAAATGTTAAAATGTTTGCAAGAGTTACACTTGGAAATTGCTTGATAATAATTTGCAGGTTTGGCATGCTGTTCCGGCAGAGAACCCTGACCTCAGAGAGATAATTGAGCCCAGGGCTCCGGCCTGATCATTTAGCATAAAAAAAACAAGAGTTTGAGAGTGTGAATTTCTGTTGTACGTTGCTCCAAAAAGGGGCAGGATTAATCAAGATGATTAGACATTAAAATTTGCGAGCGATAGGCCCATAATTTAAATTTCTGTCCAGAGAGGTCATGTATTGATTTTCGATTGGTCTCACGCAATCACGTGATGTGATTTCTTAGGTCAGCTTGAACTTTCCAATGCAGCAAACTGCAAAACTTGTCACACAAGCTTCTGTTTCCGGTCTGCTGCATTAGCCTGCGTATGAATGGAAGTCTGTGGGGCAAAAAGTGCAGTGTGACCGCGGCTTAAGTTTATAAAACTTCACCTAAGGTAAGTGTTTGCAAACAACTGATACGGGCTGAATTTAAACAAACAAAATAAATGTAATAATGTTTAGCTACATTTGCTTGTTTAAATTCGGCCCCTATAAATTGATTGCAAAGACTAAAGCTGTGATCACATTAGAGTTTGAGCATGCGATATTCTATGGTGCGGCACTGCGAATAGGGGCAGGATTAAACAAGCTTTTTAGACATTAATAAAGCGAGGGATTGCGCCATCTTTTAAATTTCTGTCCAGAGAGGACATGTTTTCATCCTTGATTGGTCTCACGCAGTCAAGTAATGCGATTTCGCAGGTCAGAGTTCCCCAAGCTTATACTTTGCGCCACAGCAACCTGTGAAACTTGACGCATGACCCTGCGTTTCCGGTCTGACACATTCACGTGCGTATGAAGAGAAGTCTATGGGAAGAAAAGTCAAGTGTGACCGCAGCTTTAGCTTAAAAAATTCCAATGAATCATTCTTTTCAGTCTATAGTAAGTTATTTTATAGTGTTGATTTGTACAATTAAATCTCGGATAAAATGTGACGGCAAAAATTTGCCTATTTAGTCGTGGTAATTCCACTGCTGTTGTTCCAATTCTTGACTTATCTCATCTTAAATAGATCTTATTAAGTACAACAGTCTATCATTTTAACGCAATTGGCAGCGCATTAAAAACGGTTGTTGCATTCTTGGCCAATTAACATGTCCAACCAGTTTCCAGGCAGCCTGTGAATCCTTCTATCCGGGCTTATTTGAGCTGAAACATGTCTTTAGTAACACAATGATTGCACAGGGGTACAATCATTGCTATAAATATAAACAGGCATTTACAGATGAATGAAGCAGAGGTTGTGGTTGGTAATAGCTACAGGCTTTACATTTGCATCTCTACGACATAACATCTGCTGTGATTAACCTCCTGCATTCACTGCTGTAAACAATTAGCCTGATTAACCACATTTAACCAACAAGCTGTTAAACAACCAAAGAACAGTGGAGGAACAGACAAGCAGTAATTCTGCGTGTAACCTGTTTAGTTACTGAATCGATCCTCTTCGACTCTACGTTCAAACTAAAGACTGGAATAAAGCAGCAGTTGCCTTTGTACTATACAATATGTAGTTTATTCTGCACACCAAAATACCAGTAATAACCAGAAGAAGAAGAAGAAGGAGAGAAAAAAATACAAGACTATTGCTGACTGAAATTAAATGAAATAAATAATTAACGAATAATAAATAATTAAATAAAAATAAATCATGCATAATTGTTATTAAACACTTGCTGTACACTGCAGGTTACACTATTTGTTTAATATTATAAAAATATTATAAAGTTTATTACTGGTATTATGTATTTTATTATAATGTTCCAATAGATTTGTTTTTATGTTAGACATGTAACTGTTTAAACTCACAGAAAATATGCCTTTAGGTAAAAATAGTTTACCTACAAGTTAAAATAACCAAATAAATAAATAATGTATTTGCCAAAGAATGCAGTAGAAATGTTACAGTTTTCATAAATAACGTCAAATAATATAAAATAAAATAAATTACTTACTTAAAAAAAAATTCTGGTAAAATAATTTATCTACAAGTAAAGATATATTAAATAATAATAATAATAATAATAATAATAATAATAATTAAAAAAATATATATTTATTTTAAGTAAAATCGTTTTGGTCAAAGAATGCTGTAGAAATGTTACAGGTAAATAAAAAAAGACATAAATGTTACAGAAAGAAAATAAATGGTGTTAATGCTTTAGTTTCAATAAATAAATAAATAAATAAATAAATAAAATTGTGCTCAGATTAATATAATTTATAAAAGTAAAGATAAATTAAATAATATTTACTAAAATAAATAATTCAATTAAATGAAATTAAAATGTTCATTTATTCATTTTCTTGTCGGCTTAGTCCCTTTTTTAATCCGGGGTCGCCACAGCAGAATGAACCGCCAACTTATCCAGCAAGTTTTTTTTTTTTTTTTACGCAGCAGATGCCCTTCCAGCCGCAACCCATTTCTGGGAAACATCTACACACACAGCCGCAACCCATCTCTGGGAAACATCCACACACACATTCACACACACACTTATACAATACGGACAATTTAGCCTACCCAATTCACCTGTACTGCATGTCTTTTGACTGTGGGGGAAACCGGAGCACCCGGAGGAAACCCACGCGAATGCAGGGAGAACATGCAAACTCCACACAGAAACGCCAACTGAGCCGAGGCTTGAACCAGCGACCCAGCGACCTTCTTGCTGTAAGGCAACAGCACTACCTACTGCGCCACTGCTTCGCTAAATTAAAATATATTAAACTAAATTCAATTAAATACTTACTGAAAAATGCATTCAGGTAAAATAATTTAAGTAAAAAAAATTATATATATATATATATATATATATATATATATATATATATATATATATATATATATATATATATATATATATATATATATAATTGTATTGGCCTAAGAATGCTGTAGAAATGTTACAGTTTCCATAAATAAAGTAAAATAAGAAAAAAAAATAATGCACTCTTATAACTAATAAGATTAAAATAGTAAAATTTCTAACTTGTCATAAAATAGTAGAACTTTCTTTTATACAATTTATTGTCTACAGTTTATTCTGTCAACAAAATACTTATAATTGCCATAAGAAAATAAAAAAAGAAGGAAAATAACAAGATATTTAAACATTTTACTATTACTGACTACTCAAAATAAAATAAAATTAAATAAAATAGTTAAATATAACAATCTAAAATAGTTTTAAAAAAAAGTAATCAAATGTATCCTATTCAAACTGATAACTGGTCCGTCCTATGCAGCCAAGAGCAATGCTACATACGTTTACTTTGAAATAAACACTATATACATTTGCTTGTGTCACCGAAATATAAATAAAATAAAATAAAACTCAATATAACGTTTTACTACAATAGTAAAACATGCCATCATATTCATCAGCAGTAGATCTACTTATATAAATGCACAGTATTTATTGAGTTCGAAAAGCTTTGAAACCCTAAGCTTTTACAATTTGAGACATTGCCAACATTCGGATTTACACCATGCCACCCTAATTTATATTTTATGAAATGAAAGCTTTTTGAACAAACTGTTAAACAACCAAACAACAATCCATAAACAGACAAGCAGTGATTTACCATGTGATATTTTGGCTCAAACTAAAGTCAAGTAAAAAAAGCAGCATTTACCTTCCAGAACTTTTTGGCAGACTCGACCTTGGAGCGTTTGCGCGGCAGCGAGACTAGCCTTGCAGAACTCACATGGTCAAAAATCATGTTGAAGGCTAGAGGACTTGCCCAGGAACCGCGGACTGCATGCAGAAAGACTGCTTTATACGGCTCCCAGAATCCCTTCCAATTATGAAACACTCATAAACAATGAGAATATCCAGCCCATCTGAGCAGGAGATCCCATTACACGCTAATGGAAAAGCAGACGGAGGAAGCCTCTAGTCTGGCTGACTCGTAGCTGGGATGGAACAAGACAACGGATGCAGGGATATCTGCCTCTCCTTCCTCAAAACATAATAGTTTCTCACTGGGGTCATCACCCTAAAGTGGGTTATCGCTTTAATGAGTTTAGCGTGTTGGCTAATGTGATTAGTGATTACGATCACTGCAGAAATGTGAGCCTAGGTGCTGAGATTAGCAGAGGCCTCCGGTGGCACTCAATATCTCATTTAAAGAGCAAATGTAAGAGCACAAGAGATAGAGGCTAAAGAGGTTATGGAGCAGAGAGTGTACACACACATGCACACAAGCCTAAAAGTGTACAAAATATAATGCAGCGGTTGACTCTAACCTTCAAATCAAAACAATCAAACGAATGAACAAAGTAATACTGTACATAAATATAGATTTTTTGTTGTTGTTGTTACTTTAAAAACATCTTTTATTGAAGGTGGTCCGCTAAAATGACAGGAAATGTAATGTTCTGCTCTGCTCTATGATGTAATAGGGAGGATAAAGCATGAAAGAATGAACGAACGAACAAATGATTGAACGAATGAACAAATAAACTTAGTAATACCATTAATATTCAAAACTGTGAGGCAGTTACAGCAGATTTATGCAAGCCAACAAACAAAGCAATGAAAGGACAAAAAAAAAATATTGAATGAACGAACCAGTTAGCATGGGAGCGAGCGAGCAAACGAACAAATGAATGAATGAATGAATGAATGAACAAAGTGATATTGTTTATATTCAATACTGTTAGCCAATCACAGCTGATTTTTTACAAGCAAACAAACCAACGAAAGGACAAAATATGAATGAATGAATGAATGAATGAATGAATGAATGAATGAATGAACAAACAAGTGAACAAGGGAGCAAACGAACGAATGAACGAACGAAGGAATAAACAAACAAAGTAATGCTGTCAATATGCAAAACTGTTAGTCAAGCACTGCAAATTTTCACAAGCAAACAAACAAACCAACAAAAGGACAAAAAATGAATGAATGAATGAATGAATGAACGAACAAGTAAGCAAGAGAGCAAACGAACAAACATACGAAAAAAGAACAAACACACGACATATAAAGTAATACTGTTAATATGCTAAATTGTAAACAAACCAATGAAGGGACAAAAAATAAACGTACAAGTGAGCAAACAAACGAACAAACAAATGAACAAACGAATGAACTAATGAACGAAAAGTGCAATAAGGTAAATGCTGCCTTAATGCAATACAATTCTGGCTGCACATTATTTATGAATGAATGATTAAATGCATGAATGAATGAACCAACAAATAAACAAACGAACAAATGAAATAATGAACGAATGTATGACCAAATAAATGAACAAATGAATAAACGAACAAACTAACAATTGAACAAATGGAAGGAAAAGAAAAGAAAAGAAAAAGAAAAGACCAATAAACACTGCCTAAATGCTATACAAGGCTGGCTGCACATTATTTATTTATGAATGTATGAATGAATGAATGAATGAATGAATGAATGAATGAATGAACAGAAAAGAGAAGCACAATAAAGTAAACACTGCCATGTTTAACCTACAATAGATCACAAAAAAATATACTGGCACAACTGGACATTATTTATTGATTGTAAACTGCTTTGAAACCCCAAGCAAGTACAATGTGCAACATCAAATAAATAAGCAAACAACTGTGCACCACTAATATTTATTTTATAAAATCATAGCCCTTTGGAGTTTAATAATAACAATATGTTGTATCATGATAGCAGTTTTTCATCCATATATTAGACATTTAAATTATCTGAATCTGAAACCTAAATTGATTAAAACTTTGGGCAAGGTTTTCAATTCTTCAATCCATGGGATTTCAATTTTGATATGATTCAGTATTGATTAGCTATTGATATTTCATTTAAAATGTTTTACAGCTATGGAATCCATAATTAAGGCTACGATAATATTCACAGTTGCTGGAGTAAAGCACGCACATTAAGGGTGAATATTGTTTCATTAAACTGAAGATTGATTACAATTTAATAAATTCTGATTACCCAGCCCAAATAAAAAAATAAATAAATAAATAAAATAAAATTAAATTAAAAAAGGCAAACTTTATTAATAGAGCACAATTTTACACAACCGTTGTTGATCCAAAGTGCTTTACGATAAAATAAAATAATAAAATGGTATTTAAAAATATAAGAAAAAAAAACAAAAAGAAAAAAAGACTGGAAACATACATAGAAACAGAAAAATTTGCTAACGCAAGTATTGTAAACAAACCAACCCAGGCTCATTATTGAAACATGTAAAATATATCCCAGGGGGTAATTTTCTTTTTGCAGTTTTTGTTTTTGCGAATCCACCAGAGGCAGCTGTGTATGCTTTTTAAGATCTCAAATGTCTTTTGCGAGTAAAATTCGTGCCTGCTGTTCTCGCATAAATCCACCAGAGGCTACTGTGTGCACTTTTTCAGATCTCAAATGTCTTTCGCTAGTATCATTCGCACCTGCTGTTCTCGCATAAATCCACCAGAGGCTGCTGTGTGCACTTTCAGATCTCAAATGTCTCACTGGCCACAGTTTCAGGTCTCAAATGTATTTCGCAAATACCATTCATGCCTGCTGTTCACGCACAAATCCACCAGAGGCTGCTGTGTACGCTTTTTAAGATATCAAATGTCTTTTGCGAGTACAATTCGCGCCTGCTGTTCTTGCGTAAATCCACCAGAGGCTGCTGTGTGCACTTTTTCAGATCTCAAATGTCTTACTGGCCACTGTTTCAGGTCTCAAATGTATTTCGCAAGTAACATTCATGCCTGCTGTTCACGCACAAATCCACCAGAGGCTGCTTTGTACACTTTTTCAGATCTCAAATGTCTTTTGCGAGTACCAATTGTGCCTGCTGTTTTTGCGTAAATCCACCAGAGGCTGATGTGTACGCTTCTTCAGATCTCAAATGTCTTTCGCGAGTACCATTCGCACATGCAGTTCTCGCGTAAATCCACCAGAGGCTGCTGTGTAAGCTTTTAATAAATCTCAAATATCTTTCGCGAGTACCATTCACGCCTGCTGTTCTGGCGTAAATCCACCAGAGGCTGCTGTGTACGCTTTTCAGATCCCAAATGTCTTTCGCGAGTACCATTCGCACACTCTGTTTTTGCGTAAATCAACCAGAGGCCACTGTGTAAGTTTTTCAAATCTCAAATATCTTTCGCGAGTACCATTCGCACCTGCTGTTCTCGCGAATGAGCCTGGGCTGTTTTATGTCCATTTTACCAACAAAAAATAAATAAATAAATAAATAAATAAATAATACTAATAAAAAAAAAAATCATTAAATTCTAAGATCTAGGTTTTGGTCCCCCAATATGCATGGTCTTTTGCTCTATGTCAGAATGCATCACTCCTCATGTTAACAAGCCCAACACTGGTTCCCCTCCACCACCTCCTATAGAGCTCAGACAATGAGAGTTTCCAGTCCCAGCACTCGTCCTGGCCTGCTGAGCCCTTGAAGACCGAGGTTAAGTGACGACAGGCACATCACACACGTTCAGAACAAAGCCCACTCAGGGGACCCTTACCAGCGGCTAATCACAAAGACCCATGTAGCTTGTTGAATTAGCATTAACCTCCCCCGCTCCAGCACTTCAGCCTTTATCTGCTCATCATAAACACTTTTAACATCCACTCCAGCAGCATGAGTGACACCCGTGGGCATGATTCAGCTCTAGACGTGGGAGTTGTTTTATTTAAGGCCCTGGAAAGCACTCGATTATTATTCACCTATGTAAACTGGATGGGATCTAGAATGAACATATTGCTTGAGTAGACGTGGAGAATTGATCAGACTGTATTTTTTTCATCTACAGAGTCGTCGGAGGTGTGAAGGCCCCAGTTGATGTCATGAGCCTTGCGCCCTACTGAGAGTGCCACAACGCTGAAACAGCTGCTAATGGATCAAATCCAACAAGAAGAAAAACTCAGCAGAGACCTGCACCATGGGGACCAAACACCTGTCGAGGGTGTGATGTAGATCAGTGTTGCTCTAACTGCTGGGTCGTGATCCAAAAGCCTGTTCTGGCAGACAGGGCAGGCAAATCCTGGAATGATAGTTTTCAGTATTCCAGGGCCTACTCACACTATGCTATCCGAACCGTGCCCAGGCCCTTTCCCAGATCGTTTGCGAAGTGTAAGTGCTCTGAATCGGGCTTCAGAGCACAGTTCACTTGGGCTTTGAACACATTTTTTGAGCTGTTGACAGTCGTATATGTGTCCCACACTGCTAAAAACACTATTAGGACACCTATATTTCACTAAAAAGTGTAAATTGGTTGTTTTTGCGTTATTTCAAGCAAATTTGTACTTCGTCACGGTCATGAGATAATAGCGTGTATTCCATCGTGCAGACTGGACGTCTGTGCCAGAGTGTGGCTTATTACGTCTCAGAGTGTGCTGCATTAATGCATGAGTAAGGCTTGGTTCAAACCAATCAGCGCGCTCTATTGTGCAACTTCATTAATATTCATTACTGTCACAGTGTTTAGACGACAGAGACACCACTATGTATTGGCAAAACAAGCGTAAAGTGTTGATTTAATTTTCTCTCTGTGAGAGCTCAGCTGGAGTCACGTGTGGATTAACAGTGTACGCGACGCACAACAACAATAACTTACTTGTCTAAGGAGGAACATTGTTTACCTGAGAGCTGTTCTCATCTGCAAATGCTGAGATCCGGATTCGCTTGAAGTCTCCTCTTTATTGAGACGCGGCTCAAGTTTCTGGTGATTGTCCTTTCTCTACAGATTTGGTAAGTGAGCAACCAGTGCTCTTGTTTATTCAGTTTGTTCTTATCGAATAACTATTGCACCGAGTGTAAACATGTTAGCACCACAACCAAACTATTACCGTCGTGTAGGATTTTCGCCGCATTTTGTGACCGGAATAACACACGCGGCTTTCTGACACTACCTGCCGTGTGCATCTAGGTTTCTGGGAAATGCTGAGGTTTTTTTTCTCTCATTCCCTGTGCGGTATCAGACATTGCATTAAAAATACACGCTTAGAGCAGTTCCTCGAATCAAATATCTCGTTTGTCGCAAGGGACATGAATGAACTCCCTGAATGAAAGAGCCAAACTGCAGTTAAAGTCCGCATTTAATAATTTGGCAAATAATTCGACTACAGA